GCATCTTCACCCTGGGCAAGTGTTATATTTTCATTTCGTAATACATTATATTTGAACATTTTCCCATAGGTCATTTGTTTACTGGTCGCTATCCTATAAAATTCTTCCATTATTGTACTACTAAGCCATTCCAACCTTTACATGATGAATGGCATATCAAATCCATTTGAATTATAGCCAATGATCATATGTGGTTTGATGTTATTCTGTATCTTTGCAAACGCTCGATAGAAGTCATGTTCTCCCTGAACTTTTATCACGTGTATTGGAAACTTTATAATATTTCACATATTATCAATAAACATACGAATTGCCTCATATTCACCCTGACTATTTCCTCATATTTTTTCTCAGAAAAATTTACCATGGTCTTTATAGTCTCAGTGTCAACTTTTTGAAACTTCGTTATGTCATTCACCATCTTCCATATTCTTCCCTTGATTTTCTCTTCCGATTCATATCGAAGTGGTGTATTGGTTCCAGTATCAAGCAGGCAAATCACTCCCAGTGGCACGGGATCATTACCTTGGGTAAAAACACTAACGTTAATATATACACGGTCAAATGGGGTACCACCACGTCCAACCATATCTTTTTTTTTAATTTCATGATTGAAGTTTTGTAAAAATGTCGTTTCCAGATCAAATGACCTATGGGAAAATGTTCAAATATAATGTATTACGAAATGAAAATATAACACTTGCCCAGGGTGAAGATGCGATAGAATATACTTATATCAAGTTTGACGGAACACTGTTCTGGAACTCAATGACAATATTTCAACGTGAGTTCCCTGGGCGTCAGAGTAGTTTAAATTACATGCTTGATACTCTAGAAATCCCTTCCAAGATCAGGTTGAGTTACAGACGTATAGATGAGATTGTACTGCTTGCTATTGAAACAGCCAAGATTCAAAATGAAATAACAAAATTAAATGTTGATTCGATGGATTATCATAACAAGATCGAAGAACTCAATTTGAGACAAGGTAAAGTTATCAACGATTTACATAGAGAAAAGGAGGTTGAAAAACTTTGTACAGACATCCTTGAATATTGCTTCTATGATTCATAAGCAGTCCTATTGAGTATAATTAAGATGCAAAAACTGGTTTCGTACCAATTAGATGCGATGATTTATAACTGTGAATACGCGCAACCATTCCGTGGTGGTAAAACAAGCATGCTGAATTGTCTTATAGCTAAGGAGTATAATAAGGAATATAATGACAAACTGGTATCATACGGCATCAAAGATAAGAAGAAATTTCAAGGTGCGGAGGTAATCGACCCAGAGTCCGGGTATTACATGGATCCTATTTATGTACTTGATTTTGCAAGTTTGTACCCGTCGATAATGCGTGAATACAATATGGGACCCGATACGCTTAGATATGAAAAGCCCAATGAGAAACATCGAGTGGTACATCTCATAGACAATAACGTAGGAACAAATCAGGATATATACTTTATCCATGAGGATACCCAAGAAAGCATTATACGAAACATTCTCACGGATCTGATAAAAAAGAGAAAAGAAGCCAAAAAAGAGCATGACAAGTATATTGGGATTAATGATATGATGTATAATATACTAGATCAGAAGCAACTTGCATATAAAGCATCGGCAAATGCATTATACGGAGGCCTAGGTTCACCATATCTCGGTATTGCTATACCAGTGATATCACAGTGTGTGATCTTTGTTGCTCAGGAACTGATAAAAACTTTAAAAAAATTTATAGAATCGTATCACACCAGGGAATATAGAGATGACCATAACGTGATCTGTGATGAAACCAGTGAGGTAATCTATGGAAACACAGATTCTTGCCTAGCACGATTACCAAAGCATATCTTATGTTGTATACTTGAAAAGTACTATGGCCATTTAAAATACATCGAGTTAAATAATGGTTTGGTAAAGAAATATAAAGAACTTATATTCAAGATGTACGATGAGCTTACCAAAGAGGGAAGCATATTTGGTAAAAAAGTATGTGATGCATTCAACGTGTTTAACCGTGATCGTGGAATTAAAATAGTTATATTGGAATATGAAAAACTTTTATTTGATTTGACGCTAAATAACAAGAAACGCTATGCGGGTTATAAATTTGAATTGC